TAAATAAAATTAATAAAATTTTAATAAAATATTATTTATTACAATATAAACTTAAACATAATCTAAAATAACAATAGAGAACTAAGATTTAATTTCATATCCAAAACTCAAATTTATGTACTATTAAAAAACTAAACTCAATTAAATAATTAACAATAAAAAATGAAAAATATACACTCAAAAAATAATGAAATAAATTAAGGGGTGAGTGTTTATCCGCCTTACTTTTTAAAAATTAGGAAAAAAAATTATCTCAAAACGATGTAGTTTTAATAAAATACTACAAAAAAAGACAAAATATTTTAATTCATGCTTTAAAAATAAGGTATTTTAATCTTTTTCAATAAAAATTTATTAAAACAACGTAATTTTAGTATAATTTTTCTCATAATTTTTAAGAGATAAAATAGATAAGTACTATTCTTATAAATTAAATAATAAAATAAAAGTTCTTCAAATAAGATGTTCAAGATTTTGGGCTCATAATCTCCTTAATCCTTTGCTTAAGATGTTCTTCAAATGAGATAGTGGTTGATTGTATTGTATCTATTTTAATATCCTAATGTTTATATTTTTGACCTACAATTCTTATTATATTAAATTTAGAGTTTGAAACTAAAAAATCATCTATCTAATAAATAAAGATTATAACTTGAAAATCACTAATAGAAAAGTTAAAAAAGAAAAGAAAAGAAAGAAAGAAAGAAAAAGGCTAAATCAAAATTTGAAGTTGTGGGTACTCATTATTGTCTAAGAGTGCAAGAAAGGGGAAAAGTTGTTAATTGTGTGTATGACATGCATTTAGTTTAAAGTTTGTTATGTATAAGCTATATATGTGATTTCTTTTATTTTTATCTTTATATTTTATTATTTTTATTTTTAAAAGTTATAGTTATTATATAGTTATTAAATATAATAAGTATATATAAAATTTCAATTATATAAGTATAAGTAACATATCAATTAAATAAAATAATTAAATAGATCAGGTAAATAATTTTAAACTTTTATATTCGTTATTTGATTCGATATTTGTTAATATATCATTTTAATATGCATTACTTACCTAATTTTTTTTACAATTTAAATAAAATATTTATCCAGATGAATAAAATACTTACAAGTGACAGGTATATAACTGTAAGCAATGCTCACCCCTACACATGATCGCCGGACAGTGGTTGAATAGCTATGATGGG